TAAACCTTTTTTTCCCCCTTTTCGTTTTGATGGAAGGAGGTTGAGATATGTTAGCATATAGGTGATCTAAATATAGCTCCCATACCATCATGGGGCGTTTCATTTTACGCACACAAAAAAAATGATAAATTTCAAAGGTGACCTGATGGATTTCATTACAGCTGATTGATCGGCTTATGTGAGGGTGTCACGAGATGGACAGAGCAGACATAGTACACCTCCAGGATCCTACATAGGACATATAGGCCACCTGACCACAGCAGCCGGGCTCCTGACTTACTTATTTAATGATGGGTCTGTATTCAAACATGTTTTTTACAGTATTTGCTTTGCTACCTAAACTTGAAAAACAAAAACGTAGTTTTGTGAATGACAGGGGATTGTGAATTTGTCTTTGCTGTGGCTCACGAGCAAAAACACACAGTGCACACAAAAAGACACACACATTTAAAAAAATCGATTAAGACAACGTACGATGACTCATTCAAGTTATGTTAAAGGTCATGTTTAAGAGCTAGTTTGAATTAATGTCTTGTGTTCATACTTAATGTCCAACACTTTAATTACATACCACCCAACTCACTGTGTGATGTGTGTGAGTAATTAATATTATTTTATTCTTGTCAAAAACTCATCTAAATTATAGAAACAAAACCAAAACGCTACAGCTTTAAGCACAGCCATTTCCAAATGCAATATGCAGTGTCTACTAAAGAGACATACACAGCAAAGCTAAACTAATGATTTGCACCATATGTTTTTTTATTCTGTTATAAAGTTTTTGCATTCTTTGCAAGTTTTTGGGCACAAAGCAGGAATCTGTGAGTCCCTCCTATGAACTAGTAAATAACCCCTGCAATTCATCATAAGAACAAGAAAGAAATGTCAAGGGCACAGGAATACCTTTTTTTGTTGAGGTCACACACAAAACATAAACAGCAACACGCATGCAAAACACACACACACACACACACACACACACACACACACACACACACACACACACACTACATGCTGCATTATGACCACACTGCGCTTCACAGAAATTGAGGCATTGAAAAATCACTGGGACCTGAAAGTGGGGCCGAGGTGGGACTAATTGAAATGAACTTTAGGAAAGGGGGGGACACCTAATTAAACATGAACTTTCTATCCTGTGTTTGTGTCGACATCATGGGGCCTAAATCTAAGCTCATCTTTGTTTTGGACAAACCTGGCGACGCAGCTAAAAGAATACTGTACATGAAGGGGGAGAAGGAATAAGGTCATTGCTTTTCCTCAGTGAAAACATATTTTCCCTTGTCTCAAGTCACTCGCAACACCTTTCTGTAGTGTGTGAGGGGCCCGTTCGTCATCTACCGCTTTTCCTCAGAGAGACACATACGCATACGGTATCTGGAGTGTGTGTGTGTTGTCTGGTTTATCTGTGCTGTTTTGAACACCTATCGTGAGCGGGTGAAAGTATCGGCATACATACAGCACGTCCTTCTGCACCTGTGTAGTACTTGTGTAGTACCTAGATGGGTGTGTGCATACATGCATTTGTTTGTTGTGTTTATTGCCTGTTCTATTTTCTGTATTACTTCGTCAGGGACACGGCGCAGTGCAGGAGCTGTGAAGTTTCCCAGTAACAGGCTAATTCCTCAGTGGCTGTTTAGAGTGTCTCCAGCAGTGCTAAGTGTTCTCCTCCCTGTGCCTGATCAGAAAACAGGACCACTTTAGTCAGTTTGTTTAAGGTCCCCCGAGAAGGCTCTCATATCCTCCCTCCACTCACCCCTTCCTTTTCTCTGCGCCGCCTCTCTTGTACTCGCACGCTAAAACGCAGTCGCAGAGCCACCTCTACACTTACATAGAATGAAACAAATGAGCTTAACATGAATTAAATTCATCATTTTTTTTACAGGGGAGTGAGGGAGATGATCTGGCATTTTATTTGTAATAAGGTACATTCCCTGAAGCTTGTTTTAGATTGATAGAAAGCGTTCAGTATATAAGGAGCTATATGATGGTGTTCCACCTCCAGAGAAAGATTAAAATGTGTAATGTGCAGCCTCAAAAAGCATCTATTTGGCATTACTTTGGTGAAAAGTAAGGGAACACTATGTGTTTGTCAGTGTAGAACATCTAAAGATGAGGTCATGTTTTGAACAGACTGGAGATAACATTTATGTTGAGAATAAACGCTCACGTGGGGTTTATCATGACATTCAACACTTCCTAAACTTATTTTTTTATGCAGGAGATTATACTTTAAAAAGATGTTTCTTCCCATCAATGACTAATCTAAACTGGTAACTGTGGAAACATTCTGTTTCTCTTTGATCTGCATCTAGTTTTTGCTGCATATTGTTGCCTGGCCTCAAAACATCTCGCAGAAAAAGTAACGTTAAGCTGTAGAAAATCAGGGCAACCTGCATAACAACCATCATGACACATTCCATCCAGGTGGTAAAGGTCATGTTTAAGAGCTAGTTTGAATTAATGTCTTGTGTTCATACTTAATGTCCAACACTTTAATTACATACCACCCAACTCACTGTGTGATGTGTGTGATGTGTATGATAGCTTCCCTCTACTTCACACTTCTCTTGCATAGAACCTCATTACAGCTCCTTTGAAACTCCCCTCTGCACATTGCCACTCTGATTACGCACACAAAGATTTTCACTTATGCAATAATTGCAAGTGATTAACTCAGTGTAGTTATACTGGAACACTATTTGTATCATTTCTGTATGATGCTTTCATTGCTCACTGTGTTAACCTTTAAAGATGTTTTTTAAACTTTAGTGTTTGAGAGTAAATTCTGCCTTTTTCTGAGTTCAATTTAGAATACGATATATTTGCAAGGGAAATTCTTTGCATAGATAATTTATCCCACAACATCAAAAAATATTCTCTGCTATCCTTGTGTAAAGGTGAAGTTTCCTCACAAGAGCTGACAAGTGTGAAATTACAATGGGAAGTGCTTCGTACCCTGCCATTTACCTTCATTCATTACCACACACACACACACACACACACACACACACACACACACTCTCGTTACAGTCCACAGCTGACTGGCTGATATGGCATGTCACTCCCTTAACCAGAAATCTAGCAAAATACCACACATATTATGCATGATAGTTTTGCCTTCAGAAACCCTCAAACTTTGGTGGTCCTCAAAGGCATCGGCTCGCCTTTGGAGTGTCATTGAATATAAAGGTACAAAGAAGGATGGACCTGCATGGATTATAGCTCATCCATACCACTAGTCTCCAGGCTGGTAACTAGATCCATTTGACGTTCAAAGGAGGGCCGGACCACAGAGATCTGGGATGATATCCCACTTTAAACAATTTAATGAAAATGTGAGAATTAATTCCAGGGTATCTTATTGAACAGTGTTAATCGTACTATTTTGAATTGTTGGATGTGTATATATATACACACGTCTTTTTTTTCGTTCCTCCTCTTACTAAGTGTGAGTTGTCTGAAGGTTATTTAGCTGACTCTGTGGCCAAAAGCAACTGAGGAGACACTGGGCGGTCAGAAGTCTTTGTCTTTGAAGACTGCACGCTGCGATGGAATCGCTGCTGCAGCGTAATTGATACAGGCTCACGCTGTTGAGCTTAACGGAGCCCCATCATGGCCTTACACTCAGATCTCTCACAGCTGTAGGGCTCAGAGTACTGAGCTCTCACAAAATCACACAAGCGTGTGCAGGCACCCACACACACACACTCTCATAACACCCAGCTGGCTTCTGGCGAGATCACAGCTACAGAGATCCAGAGCAGAGCTAGTTAGACTAACACTAATGGAGATGAGCTGCCTGGTTAACTCTACGGAAAATTGAGCAGAGTTGATGCTTATTTTATCACAGCAGTCGTCCGTTCCGTGGGGAATACACAGTCAACTTACACTGATCTTAAATCTTTCAGAACAATGAAAAAGAAATACTGTGGCGTAAGTGAGGGAGCGCGTGGGCTCTCTGCAGAGAACGCTTCACAATCCGAAAGTGTTATACTTTTTGAAACCGCACGCGATAGATGGTTTTCTTGTTAGCAGGAGGCACAATGGGAACATTTGTGAGGGCATGCTGTGCTCCATCGGAACCCTTCCACTGACAAGGCGCACTTCTTCCATGAGAAACAAGTGCATCAAGTCACATCACCGGTTTGAGAGCTGGGCCACGCCTGACTGCATCTGTCCCGCCCGGCGGCACCGCAGCCCGGCGAGAGCCACCGAGGATCACTGGCAAGCATGAGGAGGACCTCCTGCTTTTATCCCTCCACCTGACATTCTGTGACATTTAAGAAGTCGTTAAAGGTGTGAGCATGTAGATTGGGAAAGCGCAGCTCCTCAGGCAGAGAAAGACCCTCAGCACTGTCACCAAATAAAACCTTGTTGCATGAACTAATTATCCTGTCAGAAAAATCTTAGCATTACATTAGTCTCCTGGAAAGACGTCTGCATTCTGCGTTAAGAAATCACGCGGCGCTGCGTTTGAATCTGTCCTGTGGTCCGTAGGAGGATGTAGATCAGAGGATGGAGTGCAGTCCGTCTCTAGGCCTGACTGTGCTGGTTTCTCTGTGGTCCGTTTTGGCTGTGACACGAGATGAGTCTCCTCTTGATGAGCCGCTTCCTTTTCACCAACAAACAGCAACCTTAAAGTGCGGCCAGATCTGGCTCCTACTGGTGCCGCTGGACAGCTAATGCTCCTGCTATTTGTCCATCTCTGGCATCCGTCTCCATAAAGGGCTTGCTGTAAAAAGCCCTGCTGACCTACATCGTTAGGGGCCGACCCTGTCTTTACTGCAGTAAGTGTTTGTTTAGAGGCAGTCCCCTGTTCTGAAGTAGCGATTAGCCTTTGGTAGAGAGAGGAGCCCTCCGGTTCAAAGCCCTTCCTCCACTGACAGGCTGTCAGCTCCAATACCAACAGAAAGCACAGAGTGAGAAATGCAGCGGCAGAGACAGAACAGTAATTACCAACACTCTGCTCTGTTTTCTAGGCCCTGTACTTCTGCTCAAGGGGAAACAAAATAATAAAGTACCGTTTTCAACCCGATGAACTGACAACTAGAGGTGGAAATGATTCCACCACACAAATAGGTAGGTCTTCATGGTTAAACCACACAGTGATCCAGCATACACAAACTCTGTATGCTGTTCAGTATTTATAATAATCTATCCAGTCCACAAATATTTCACTGATATCCCATTTTGTGTCCCAGTGTTGATCCATTACCATCATATCTACAAACTGTGATTCTGATAAAGTGATATTGATTTTGATAAAAACGTTTTTTTTCCTTCACCTTTCTTTATTAAAGGCTAACCACTTTGATGCTATTTCACTGAGTGAATTGTGTAGAATCAACGAAAGCAAATGGTGAGTATGTGCATTAGTCTAGCGATTCAAATCTTTGCCAAACTGCACACTGTAACCCTAAAAATGCATAGTGAGTTGAAACTTTAGGTCAGACTTAAGTCAGTGCATCAATGCTTCTCTGTCTTAACAGCTCGAGGCTGATCTTTCGTTTATCTCCAAAGTCTTGGAGAAAGCTGTTTTTAACCAATTGCAAGAATTCCTAGGTCGTGCAAACTACAGTGAACAGTTTCAGTCTAGTTTTAAGCCCCTTCACAGCACCGAAACAGCTCTTTTAAAAGTTTTTAATGATCTTCTTTTAAATCTTGATTCTGGTAACTGTGCCTTTTTTAATGCTATTAGATCTCACAGCAGCATTCGACACAGTGAATCACACTATCCTCCTGTCCCGCCTCGAGCACTGTGTGGGCATTAGAGGTTCTGCTCTAGAGTGGTTTAAATCCTACCTTGCAGATAGATCCTTCTGTGTACAATTGGGGAGGTTTTTTTCCTCAGTGGCTCCTCTGACCTGCGGAGTCCCCCAGGGGTCAGTTCTAGGCCCTCTACTGTTCTCCTTGTATATGCTACCCCTGGGATCGATATTTACGAAGCATGGAATCCCTTTCCATTGCTTTGCTGATGATGTGCAGGTGTACTTGCCACTAAAGCCCCCCTCCAAGGAATCCCTTCATGCTGTGTTTAATTGTATGACGGACATTAAAACATGGATGGACCTAAACTTCTTAAAACTAAATGAAAACAAAACCGAGATTGTGCTATTTGGTCGCCCTGACTTGGTCCAGGTCCTTCCCAGGTCCCTTGGCCCACAACCACCTTACATAGGTTCCCAGGCCAGAAACCTTGGTGTGATTATTGATGGGACGTTTAAATTGGACAAGCAGGTTAGCTCTGTGGTTAAGGCTAGCTTCTTCCAGCTTCGGCTTCTAGCCAAAGTCAAACCCTATCTAAACAGGGCTGACCTCGAAAAGTCATGCATGCTTTTATATCTTCGCGCTTGTAGAGTTAGGGTTATTGCAACTCCCTGTATGTCGGTATTTGCCAGTCTGAACTCAACCGTCTACAGCTTGTGCAGAATGCAGCAGCCCGTCTCCTGACCGGGACAAAGAAGCATGGGCACATAACGCCAGTGCTTTCCTCTCTCCACTGGCTTCCGGTTAGGTTCAGAATTGATTTTAAGAATCTTTTATTTGTTTTTAAGTCTCTGCATGGACTGGGGCCAGCATATTTATCCAGCCTTATTAATGTGCATCAACCCTCCAGAGCCCTGAGGTCAGCTGACCAGCTGGTTCTGAACGTTCCTCGGTCGTTCCTTAAAACACAAGGAGATCGAGCCTTCGCAGTAGCGGCTCCCAGACTGTGGAACGCTTTGCCGTTTTCTGTGCGGTCTGCGACGAGCCTTTCCACTTTTAAAACTCTCCTTAAGACTCATTTGTTCACATTGGCCTTTGGCTGGGTTAAGTCACCTGCATCAATCTTTTATGTGTTTGCCTTTTACTGTTTATTTTAATTTTTTTATTTTAATTTTTTGCTTCTTTGTTTTACGTTTGCTTGTATTGTTTTATTGATGCTGATTGTTTTTATCCTGTAAAGCACTTTGGCTGGCCACTGAGCCACTGGCCTTTAAAAGTGCTGTATAAATAAAATTGACATTGACATTGCTCCACGTTTGGGCATCAGCACTGTAAAAATACCCACCACCCCAACTGTAACCCTCCCACTATTCCACGCCGTTTATTTTTCTTCGCGTATGATGTCAATCACCGTCTCATGCTTTTTCACCTCTTGTGCCCCATGTACATTTTAAGACAAGGCGTTCAGCTCAAGCCATTTCCGGAGCTCACGCCTTGTCTAAAGGGACCTCACAATCCTCTCCCATAATGTACAGAAACCTCCGGCCTGCACTGTGGAATTCTGTCTATAGGAGTCAGCCAGGTCACAGTTTAGACCTCCGCCCATCAATCTGAGGCGCACGCTCTCCACGAAGGGAGGTCCTGACATTCCCACAATACACACAGGGGTAATGGAGTCCCAAAGATGCCAGAGGGGACATAAGTCACGGAGAAAAGAGACTGACAGGGTGACAAAAGCTTGCTGCAGTTGGTTTCCTCCAGCCGCAGGTACCTGCCGGAAGCGTGGTTTTCGTCCCAAATCCTTTGTGGTAACAGCTCAGGTCCGTCCTCAGCCCCATCCATCATCACATAGAGAGGACGAGAGGGCTGTATGATGAATGTTACACAGTTGACGGCTTGAGTTTCGGGGGTTTAAATAGGGATCACCTCTTAAATACCCCGCGTGGCCTCTGAACTGCCACAGTATGCGTTTAAAATGTCTTACTCTGTTTGTCTCATCTCTACAGTATGACCGGTCACTGGTCTACAGTGATTTCAGCTGCTCTTCCTTACAAGATAAGACACCCAAGACAGAAACCTCTTAACATGATGAATATTCTTCAACTGCACATAAGCATCCTCCCCTATCAAGTGAGGGTATATATATACATCGTGAGCAGCGTTACACTGATCTACTGTACACCGTGCAAACACAACACAGAACATTATGAGCTCTTACCTCTTCATGCAGAAGAGTGCATCCGTTCACATCGTGCATTCGGGCAGGCTTCAACTAACCAATGTAGTGACACACAGGAAATACATTTATTCACAACAACAATGACCATTCAAAATGGAATATAAGCATATTGAGAGCACCCTCGTCTTTGCAGCCCACTTTTGATGAATAATTCAAGTAGCACTTGAAGGTAATAGTGTATTGTTATATGAAAAAAATAAAAGAACTTCCCTGTTATCTTAAAGTGATGGAGGAATTTGCTGACCCTCCACGATAACATATGCATGCTGCTCTAGTTGCTGCTATATGGTTTTCCTCCTGTTAGTATCTGCACCAGGGAACACAATGGATTCTAATTAAACGAGATACACAATTTTCAGAAACATGTACTTTTTGTATTTTGTATTTATTTTTATTTTTTTACATCTTCTGTAGCCTGTCCCTGGCCAGTCTGACGGAACAAGCTGACATCTGGTCCCTGAAATCCTCTTATATACCCCCTACACACGTACATTGCTCTCAATGGTGGGTCCATGGTGTCTGTGATATTTTGATTAGGCAATTAACTTTAATTTATGTCCGTTGATTATCCCAAAGCAGCTTAGCCCAGCAAGGGTCAAGGAACCAACTTAAACTCTAAGCATCTAGCAAGACAAGAGCATGAAGGTCAAGGGGCACTAAAACCCATCTGACCACGACCATGTGTGAGTCTGTGTGTGTGTGTGTAGACACTGTCTCTCTCTTTCTTTATATTACATTACATATTTCAATTATTCATAAAACAAACTGTAGAATTCCCGGTAATGGAAAAACCTAAGGATTTAATCAATGTTTGGATAAAAAGGCTCACTATACAATTGTGAAATTGTTATTCAAGGAATAATAACTCTGCTCCACCTGCTTTGAACAACTTGATTGGTTGATGCCGGTATTCTCGGTGCAAAGGCTTAAAAAAATTATTCATGACAAAAACAACAGTGTGAAGAACTTAATCACATACAAAAGTTGTGTAAAGGCCTTTCATCTTTGTATTTCTGTAGAAGTTTCTAATAAACTAATCTAGTATGCATTAAAATGCTTCTGCACTTTCAGAGGTCATGAGTGTTTTTTTTTCTTTCTGACTGAGCCCACATTAAGATTACTTTAAAAGATACTGGTAGTTTATGGCAAATAGTTTTACTGTCTGTGGAACAATATGCCAGTAAGTTGCATGGCGCACCACGGTTTCTGGGGCTCTGGCGCGTGATTTGTAGCATGGGGTGACTAAGTCAGTTGTAATATATTTTGTTTAGAGATAACGCTCCATAGAGTAACACTTCGCTGCATATAGTGGTGTTTTAGGTGAAATAATGACACTCTGTCCAATGGTACATCTATTTCCCCCCCATATCTTTTCGGGGGAAACCACAGTTGTTTCCAAGAAAGAAAAGAAAAGAAAAGTTTGAGAGCAACAGGAAAGCTCGAGCCGCGATAACAAAGTGCAAACTGCAGTGTCCCGGCCACGGTACACGACCCTGCTGTCATCACTCACAGGAACATCCTCCATCATCCAAGTTTGCATCTAGTTATTCTTAATTTATTACACGTTCCACACGTTAAGTCTGCAAAGCTCCAGGGTGCAATTTTAGCAGCGGCAAATCAACAAATCTTTGTGTCTTCCCTAGCAGAGCGCTTAGTAGAAGTAACAAAAGCTTTTTGAGAGAAACCGACTGGAACAAGTGTGGGGACAAGAGTCTAAACGGCTTCCTGTTGCGCTGCCGCGGAAGATTGAGCACTGCTTCAGAAGCGCAGAGAGAGCGAGAGATAAAGGCGTTTCATATCATGGGTAACAGAAAGCTGTGCGAGGGAGAGAGAGAGAGAAAGAGAGTGAATGAAAAGGGAGAGAGACACTTAAAACAAACATTTTTGTGTGTGAAGTGAAAGCAGTGCAAAGATGCATGCGTATTTACAGTCAGTCTTTCACACAAGGCTCTCACAGTCCTTTCAGCCACTTAGCGCCCTGCCCGGGGGAGCTCAAGTGACTCTTGTCGCATTGTCTCAGGGGTAAAAATACGAAAGAGGAAGACACTTGGAGAAATAAAAGATAACTGTGTTTTAGCTTTATGTGTATCCTTGAATCACAATGCGATGTTTCTTGCACTAGTGCTCCATTAATAAAACACTGATCAGCGCAATCATTTCACTTATTCATAGAGGTTTAGACTGGCTGAGACTCGGGTTCTCAGGTGAACAGATAAGAGGCAGAATCAGCTGTGAAGAATTGCTTTGAACATATGCAAACAACTTCCGAGGACCCAGAAACGTTCTGTTTTTAATCTGCACATAAAAAAAAAGAATGGCAATAATACACATATTTTGTTGGTCACGTGTAGTAAGACAACATATACAAGAAGGGATATATTCTAACCTCTATCTCTCATCTCAAACTGCCAGTCTGTGTAGGAACTAACTCTCTCCACAGAGCCTCACCCAGCCGAAATACCGGTGTGTGCCCAAGGAACATGTAGGTCGGATGGGTGAAAAATCCCTGAGGGGAAATACGAAGGATGGATAACAGTTTGGCGTTGACACAGACCTATTTGGATTTTGTAGCTCTTTGTCACAGTCTTGACACGACAACCAGAAGGCTGCTCGAGACATCTGGATAAGGAAAAAAGAGCATGCATTTACAGACTTAAGTAAAACAAAAAATATATATCAATAACTAATCGCATCCAGACCTGTGAATCTAACAGCTGTGGAAAAAGAGGATTTTCTTGAGCAGCCAATCGGATTTCTTCTTTTCATTAAAATGCTGGCCACATCTTCTTACATCTCTGTGTGCATTTAAATAGTTAATGGACTGCCCATCCGCTTGGCTACTGTAAGCTGGGGGGCCGGAGGAGGCTGGTGGAGTTCATCAAAAGTTTCTCTTACCAGAAAGAGTGATTTTACAAGCTTCATATTCAAGTGTTCAGGAACTAGACGCCTCCCTGCCTTTGAAGTTAAAGCAGTACCAGATTTCATCCATCCAAATTTGTAGTTGCTTTGACTGATCAGTAATTGGGCACCAATATAAATACGTTCAGCTCAACTCAATTTTTTTCTCTCTAGCTCACTCTGTCAGCCAACAAAAACCTGCCCACCCTGTGGCCGCAACAGTTTTTGCCCTAGGAGGTTGAAATTGCAGGTGTTCAATTTTGTTTATGATTTGTATTTGCAAATGAGACTGGCCGAAAAGAAAAAAAGACCACTAACTAAAGAGACACATACTATGGCCAAGTGAGTGAACCGGTGGTTGTAGACACTTGTGGGAAGTTCAACCGAGTTTGTTTTTTTATCAGTAAATATACTGAAGGTGCAGTTGAATGGACACAAGACGAAACAATCAGGGACGAGGAAAATCTCACTCACAGGGAAAAACACACCAGGGCAGGAAGGGAAGTTAGCCCAGACATGAGAGGCGGGAAACCACAAAATAAAACAGGACATGAATCCGCAACGTGACAGTGGGAGGCTGATGAATGCATGCGTATGCGTACATGGTTTCAACTATACAAATCTATGCTTGTTTTCACTACTCTACTGGTCTTTCATATGCTAATTTCAGCATCCACAGCCAAAAACGGTGAGAAATCAGCTTTGCAGCCTTATCACGGCAATTTGAATACAAATTTTCAAAATGCTGTTGAATCCTTTTATCTTTGTCTAAGGCAGGTGACATGCCGGTGTTCACTGAAAGTGCTCAAATGGAATACTGTTTGTGGGGTCAGGTGAAGTGTGTCTGAGGAGAGATAATGTGTGAGGAAGGAAATTAGTAAAGGAGTGAAGAGTAACTCTACACCGAGCCCGGATACCAGTTAGGAAGTCAGAGTTCTTCCACTGAACCCATACAGCGACTTTAGTTCGGGCAGTGGGAACTCTTTGAAGGAAACTATAAAATATTAAGGGGAAGCAGATACCTCACTTGGCTTAATACAGACAAGAGACAGGCCACAATTTGGCTCAAAAGATAAATCCTCTGTTTCTCGCTCTCACACACACACACACACACACACACACACACACTCTGACTCTCTCTGTCAGTCAGTGTGCGCTCAGGAAAGGACCGAAGGAGCTTTCCGACAATAAATGCTTCAAGTCGTCCCGCAGGCAGGGGTGAAGTTCCTTGGTTGCTCCACCCTACAAAAACCAGCTCGTCTAGCTATTTCTCCTCATCTAATTCTTAACTTTAGTACCAAAATTAAACTTTTTTTTCATGCATCTAATGGAGATTGATACCATCTTCACCGTATAATACAAATGAAAGAATTTCACTTTCATGCTTAAATAAATTCAACTTTAACTCATTCAAAAGATTGTTTGCAGAAATGGGCCGAGTACACTTTCTCGGCATTGGGAAAAGAGATTCTCTGAACTCTGACTGCCTTTAACCCTACAGTGATTTCCACCCATTCATCCCCTTCCTTCTCTTGCAGGACTGCTCTGAGTTACTGGTACACGGTATGCCGAGCCAGATGGTCAGCCACACGGTCAGAGCATGTACCGCTCGGTTTAGGCACCCCTCTAACAAACCCTCCTCCCAACTCCAGATGGCACGCCGTGCCTGGTTCTGGTGCCACAGGGGGACTGCGACTGTATCACTGTGACTCAAGTCTCTTGGGGCGTATTCCGGGTGCGTGTGTTTGGATATGCGTGCATGCCTCTGTGATCGTGTATCGTTGTCCCTCAAGTGCTCTTGTTTGATTGTGTGTTTTTAAAGATCCCCAAAACTCAAATGCCTGTGTCTCATGAGCTTTTGATTTTCCCCTTTGGCCAAATTTGGCTGCTGCTGTTTAACATGGATCATCCCCCCCCCCGAGCCTCACTATTCAAGTTAATCATTTAAAATGGGAAAATACAACCCGTGAAAACTTCACTGCTGGCTAGATAACTGGTTCTAACTTAAACAAATCGCTGCATATCGATTTTTCTTTGCACCTAATCTTCACAGTATGCTTTAAAGAACCAGTCAGTTCAACTACACATGAAGACAGATATGACAGAATTACTGACCAACTCCTAACCCTAACCCCTAACCCTCGATAAGATATAATTTGACTGTAGTGTGTAATTTTAGCTACATTACATGAACATGCAACACACCAAAGGTACTGCTCTGCTTGTGTTTATTGTTAAAATAACAGCGACGTCTCTTTTCTGCCGTGTGAGTCCTCCGAATGTCAAAGGGCTTTGAAAAGCATCAAAATGTTAAACCAGAGCAGGGACTTGGTGTCTGATCTGGGGAAAATTTCTGCTTATCACCCTTCTAAATTAAAAAGCAGTTATGAATAATCCTCACTAGAGACTCTACTCAAACTAATGCCTCAATTAGATTTGGAACATTAAAGGTAGTAATGATTCCACTCCTCTGTATTGTAATTTAAGCCAGGAAAGCAGCTCTTTGCAGTGAATGTATTAGAGTAGATTAATGAGGGGAGGATATGGAGGTGGCTGCCAGTGGGAGCCACACCATTCTGTATTCTCTTTTCTCACCCTTCCTTAATGGTGTGGAAAAAGGAGCTTTATCAATCCTGCGGTCTTTGTCAATCAGAGATTGCAGGATGCTTTTGCCAAAAGTTTTGTTTTGTTTGCGACTCTCTGATCTAGCTGTCATCTAGGCAGGTTAGGACCATCACCTCTCTCGTGAGTCACTACACGGCTCCACCTGAGCACTGGGGTGGGGTTGTAACGATCGCTGCGTGTAATTGATCCATCCCTAATCGATCCTGGCTGTCAGCACGGACTAGACATTCACCTCTGCTTGTTATCTCTGTCTGTAAAGAAGGCTGCCTCGGTCCCGGCAGTGACCACACCCTAACCCGGCCGGTCAGATCCAATCACAACCTACTGTTGCAGAGATGAGTCACTTTTCACTTCCAGTCATGATCTCGATTGCCAGAATGAAGTCAGGTTTAACTTTTAAAATGTACAGCAGAGGGAGGTTGGCTGGCTTATATTGTACTAATAGGTTAAATCTATGGTGACCTTATTTTTGGCGAAGATAATTGGAAGTCATGCACAACATCGGGGATTACCATGTTTATCCTTGCATAATCCCCATAAACATTAAG